TGTGTTCAGCACAGGGGTTAGACAATAAATAAGGCCCACTACTCCCACATAAGGATGGGAATAAACAGATATGCTGAACAACTGCCCTCTTCACTCTGCCTCATTCACTGTTTCAGATGGGGAGAGGATCTGCTCTTGAAGCCAGGTGGGAACAGGACAGGGAAAAGGGGACAGGAAAGACTGAGCACCATAGAACTGTGTTACTAAAGACAGCCATGGAAATATGCAGCAGCTTGATTTAGCAGAGCTTATTTCTGATATTTCCCATGGTAGCACAAAATAGCATTTCCAAAAGGTTGTCTTAGGGCAATAGAGTTCTTCTACTGTTATTTTTGGTAGTGTTTTCTAGGTGTTTTTTTGTTTTGTTTTGTTTTGTTTTGTTATTTTTGTTTTTGTTTTAATAAAGAAAGGAAAATACAGATTAGGTTCTTTCTATACTGTAATAAATACTTTCCACTCAATGCAAGAAATCCATCCATGCAATAGAGGACATACAGTCAAAAAGCAACAGGTTATCCACGTGGGAGTATACACATTTTTAAGACAACCAAGACAAAAATATTTCAGGATATCTCCAGGGGGCAGTGTGGGTGAGAGGTGGGATCCATAGATTCTCTATGCCATGTTTTCCTACAACAAGGCAGACATGATCAGTGTTGCCCGTGTGTGCTCCTCAGCCCTCCCAAGTCATCTGGACTTATTGAACAATTTCAACTAAATTTGATTGAGGGTTGAGGTATTTGCCAGTTGGTGAAGTTTTTGTAGTTTTAAAAGAAACTTCCCCCTGAAAGATGTCTGTATGGAAAAATAATCCCTTTCAGGGGAAAAAGCAAGTCAGGTCAGATGGTCTCAAGCTGCTAATAAAATGTGAGCTGCTTCTATTGAAAATAAAACAAGATCAAACTACAAAAACAAACAGAGCTGCTGTCTCCAGTGACAACTGTTTGCAGCCTTGTTTTTGGAGGGACACAGGCCTTATGTTGTCTCCTCAGTTCCTTTAACCTGGTAAACTTGTGCTCTGTGTGTTCCCACACGTTCCTCCCAGTGACTCATGGGCTGCTATGTCGAAGGCAGGATCCTGACCTCTTTCCTATTTCCTTAGCTAAGTGAAACACTTCCCAGTCATCTCAAGCATCAACACGTCCTTCTCATTCTACACCAGCAGCTAACTGACAGGCTAGCTGGTGGCATTATGAGAAGCCTGAAAGACTCTTTCTTATTAATCTTCTAACCTAAATAAACTACTTCATACTGGACAGTTTGTCTCCAGTGTTTATAAACATGTTATACAATGGGCTCCAGATCAGATTAGGGTTGTCTAAAGACAAGTAAGAATACAAGTCTCTGTAAAATCATTCCTCTGAGCTGTGGGCTACAAATGCACATTATGCTGTAAGCTATGTTTCAGAATCACCATAGCTAATCCTAAGAACAAATCTGCAGGCCTAAATGCACTACTCAGAGCTTGATAGCTTTCCTGGAAAATTTTTAGCTGTTCAAAACTAAAAAGGAATTGAAATCCTTTGGTGTAAAGCATCATTCCAGAAACAGAATCAGCAGGTGTCCCAGGATCCAAAACTTTACCTGGTCTGAAACCCCATCTAGAACAAATTTGACTGTTTTCACACACCAGATATGCACCTTTAAAATGAAAACATTAGCCACATGGTTTGCTATGTTGATTTTTCAACCCAAATTTTTGTGTGCCTACCTGCATTTCATAGAACCATAGAATCATAAAGGTTGGAAAACCACCTCTATCTGGTCCAACCATTCCCCTACCACCAATACCACACACTAAACCATATCCCTTAGTGCCACATCCAAGCTTTCTTTAAACACCCTCAGGGATGGTGACTCCATTTCATCCCAGCTCCTGAAGTGCTAGCTGGCAGTTGTTAACCCAAAAGATACACAGCTTCCCAAAGAGATGCATAAGTGCTTTCCTTCACCAGAGAAGATACTGCCATCTGCTATACCCATCTTTCCTGCTGCCAGCATAACACAAAATCAGTCTGGGTTAGAAATGTAAAAAATGTTCTTTGCACATTGATACAGACCAAATGAACAAATAATCCAAATTCACCTGGTACAGAAGAAATTAAGTTCAGAAAAAGTTATAAATTCCATGAGGGATACTACACGATTTTATAAACCTTGTGAAAATAGAGCAAGATTTGGGACAGGAGATCTGCAAATTGAAAAGTCTACTCAGCTGAGCTGTGGACTACTTTGGCATTTTCTTTTCTGATGATGCATGGAAGAGACCTGAGTAGACATGTCCCAAAGCTTTTTTTTTTTTTTTTTTGTCTCCTTGCACCTCTCTGAGTTGGCAATAGCACTGAGCAATAGTGTCCCACAAGTAAAATCAAGGAAAAAAAATAAGAATTTTAAAAATTTACGAGCATATTCCTTCATAATGAGGGGAAAAAAAGGGAGGAGGAAAAAAAAAAGAACACTGAAATGTTGAATGGTTTCCCATAGTATTTGTTAACATCAAGGGAAGAAGGCGCTAAATAATTGGTGCAGGCGTGTTTCCCTTTGTTAACACACCGGACATCTGTGATTCTGTTGCTTGCTGAGATGTGGAATCCCTCCCAGTTGTCCCAGCAGCTCAGAGTCCTGACAGAGGAGGAGATGGAGAAAATAGCAAAGGAAGAGCAGCTGTGAGTTTTCAAGCATAGTTTCAATTTGTTCCGGATGCCCGTAGCAAAAGACCCTTGATTTTTGGCAGTAACCAGCCTGAACATGTTTTCCTCAATTTGTTCCATGATGTGGCACTTTAGTGGAAGGCAGCACGTCCATACACACCAGATCACCCTGAGGTTGCCTAATATCCATTGATATCCATCAAGCCAAGTACATAAAAACTTCCAATTTTTCTCTTCCTACAGTGACTGTAAGACTTACTTGGCCACACTCTGAAAGCAGATTTTGAGCCTGAGGACTGGATTTGAATGGAACAAAAGAATCGGACAGTGAACCACCTCACCCTGTTTCTGCCTGCAGTGGCCAGTACAGAGGATGCTGTCAATGGTGGCATGCATCAGCTGGTGACAGAACATCTTGTTCAGCCTGGAGGTTTGTTTTCAACGTCTCACTTTGGGACTGACATGCATCCCACTGCATCAGAGTTCTTTATGTCTCTTCAAATAGGTTGGATTGCCATTACTTAAAGAGCATTTTTTTTTCCCATTTGACTTGTTTTGCTGAAATTCTTCATTTCACAATACTTGTCATCTGTCCTATCTTGCTCATCTCCAGTCAGACTCTTATATTCACACTGTCTGTGGTTCTGTTATGGTTCTTTATACTGTTGCCATGCTGAAAGTGACAATCTGAATTTCCTTCTCTCTACCTAAGGTCTCCATTTGCTACATGCTTTGCCCTAATCTCACAAAATCATGCGGATAGTCCTGGATCAAGCAACTGCTCCCAGTGAGAAAACAGGCCCTGCCACTTAGGTAAAGGTTTTGGAGAAGTGCTCCAAAACACCCAAATCCCTTTTTCAGTTAATCAGTATAAATCAGGGCATGTCCACTGACACAAATTATGTTACACCAGTTAAAACAAAAGGGAAACAAACACTTGCCTATCTAGGCCCTTAGAGTATTTTTTGAAGATCCCATTTCTGAACCCACTACAACTTCCCTGGGACCGCACACAAGTGCAGGCTACTGCACTGGACTTCACTGCGCGCTGTTTTGTGGAGTTTGATTCTGTTTTTGTTTTTTTTTCACTTTGGGACATATTCCACAGAGAATCAAAGTCTGCCAGAAGGACAGAGTTTTCTTTGAACCTCAGGTGGAAGAGAAGGAACAGCATTACAGTGTGCCTCTAATTACAGCCACCATGACAGTTCATATGTGTAGCAATAAAAATAACCATAAACCTACCTAATCATTAAAGTAAAGTAAACAACTCCTCTCTGTATCATCATACACAGGTACTGGAGTTGCTAATAAACCAAGAAGAGCACTGAGGCACTGGAGGAGCATCTTTCCTATCTCCACAGTTTCTTAAACAACTTCAGAGGCATATTTTTATTAAGTATATGCAAGGCAGATGATCTTAAACCTCAAAAAGAGTCTGTATAATAATTGTGTGCTCTTCTAATGCTCTCCAAAGACCTATTCAGAGTCCATTCTGAAAGACAATAATATATCAAGAACTTCGGCAAACTTCCTCCTAATGAACACATGCCAATTTGAGACCAAGAATTCTGGCCTCAGAGGACAAAATAACCACTGCTTTTAGTCTCTGGGTGTTTTGCTACTTTATTTCAGAGTGATTCAAAATCTAATTAAATTTCTAAACTCTAATGAAATTACAGAAGAAAAATCATTTAGGATTATATTATATACAATTACTCACAGCTGAAAATTACAGTTAGCCCCTTTCACCAGGATAGGGTCTCCTGAGAAATCCTTGTTATTCATATAACGTATAAATCTGACAGTACTCCCACTATTTACAGGTCGAAGGTAAAAGCAGAATTAATTAAACATATATATCCTGCCCAGTGGCTGGATGGCAGAGAGTGGGTAATAGAAGTCTGGTAATGATGACTATGCTTGAAACCACATTCCCAGTTTGGTTAAGAAACAGAATAAACCTACTACAAAGTAGAAGTTCAGTAAGCCTGGCTTACTCTGATGCTCATCCTCACTGGAGGTATGCTGTGAGTGAGAATATGCATATGTACTCAGCAGTGCACTGCCAGCTGGCTGAGCTAGCTGAAGCATTTTGCGGAGAATTAGCAACAGAATAAACCAAGCAGTTTGGAGACTTCAGCCAAACACTTGGATATTTAAATGCTTAGTTGTTTCTCTGAAGTAGGAGAGGCCCCTGAGACACTGAGCTAGGCAGTGAGGGGGTCGGGAGGTGGTGGTGAGGACAGGGGAAAAAAAAAAGAAAGAAAAAAAAAAAAAAAAAAGAGTGCTAGCATTCATGTTATTCATCCCATTAGAGATTCTCAGCAACTTTGGAGTATGGGATCATTTGCAGATGAAACACATGCTGTATAAAAACTTTGAGGGTCTCCTACTAGGATCCTTGTATCTTTTCCCTACATCTGGTGCAGAGCACTTTGTCTAGTTTTGATGTTTTCAGCTCTGATCCCAGGAACAGTGAAAGAGCAGCAGTGAATTACACGTGTTCATACCCACACACTCACAATGGGTCAGAGCGTTAACAAATACGTTCATGAATTGCTACCACATTCAATCTGTTCTGCCTATGCTTCATAAAGCAAAACAAGCCAGGAATTGAGGCCACCTCAGAGAGTTCATAGGTCATTTTTATTTACATTTTCAGTGCCTCAAGAGTCTTATTTGTTGTCTAAAACCATGTTCTGCACATCCCTCCACAAACACCTGGAAGACATAAACATGATCCTTCACTCACATCTTGTCAGAGCAACTAAACATTTGTGAACGTGTCTTGCTCATCTGCAGCCATTTTCCTGCCAAGGTGGTCATAGACCTGCAGTCACCAGCATTCTCTGTAGTCTACAGTGGTCCCATTAAAAACAGACTTCTGGAAGGAAGGAGGGCTTTACAGCTGTAAGCTACTCAGCAAGAAAGAGGTTTTGTCCAGCCTTAAGATATGCAATTCTGCTGAAATATTCCCTCATCAAGAGAAGGAAAAGGAAGAAAAAATGGAAATTTTCTTGAAAAACAGGTATATATATATATATATTTGTTGTTGTTGTTGTTTTTGTTTTTTTTTTTACCGTGGTATAATGACTAAACTGTACTCTTGTCAGAGGCATCATCTGGATGTGACACTGCTAGGCAGGGAGGTTGGATTAGATGACTTCCAGAGACCCCTTCTCACCTTCACCACTCTGTGATTCTGTGATCTGCCAGTAAGTTACTCTTTTTAGTTCCTACTGTGCCCGGACATTTTTCTAAGGCAGAAACTGGCAATGGTGGCTTTCTTTTCCAGGAACCGGCTTGCAATCTTTTTGCAGCTGTGGTGAGTTTCTTCCACTCTGCTCCCCCCAAAAGATGATGGGGGGGAATTATTAAGAAGATTTTCTCTCTAAAGAAGAAAAGCCACTTGCATCACTTCAGGCTGAGAAGACTTCAGCAGAGACCAAATCACTGTGGTAGGACCTTTTCAATTTGGTAAAAATAAATATTAGTATTTAAAGTTCCCTCAGAGAACAAAATAGCTGAACTAGGCTCTGACTGTTGGCTGTCCATCTTCTCCTCAAAATGTTTTCAAGCATGTAGTTTATTTATATGTTGAACTTAAACCCAAAAAAGGGAACTTCTGTTTGTAAGTGTAACTACTCAGGATGTGACTGTTGCTTCACAATATAACCACGTGACCTGGCTTAGCTTTTTTTTTTTTTTTTTTTTTTTTTTCCCTCTCACCGCAGAAGAGCAAAATTCAGAAAATTTGGGTGAAATCACTCTGTTGTCAAAACTTCACTATGATCTCACTAACAAGCTGGATATCAGTCCCAACAACATTTCTTCTTCTCTTACGTAAGTGATCGATCATATTTATTTTATTTATTTTCAATCTTTTTAGAGAGCTTTTTTTTTTTTTCCTGACTTTGGTCTTTGTTTGGATTATTTATTTCTCAGTCTGATTGCATGTACATGTATGTTGTTTTAAACTTTGTTTAGAACTCTCTTCCTCGGAGAAGAAAAGTTTGTTGAGGCAGTGGGGTATAGGTTGCTGGGTTTTCTAAACAAAATTTTCTACCTTGAGTGCTAAGGGATTGGCCACGTGTCATCCAGAAGACTCCCTGAAGTTAAGTACATGCATCTTTGCATAATAGATGTCAAAGCTGCTGAACATCCTGTCTGGCACTATGTAGGAAACTACTTCAGTGGAGCGTAAGGAAGAAGTTGATCTGTGTGCATGTTACCTGCAAGCCGCTTTTGCTCTCTGCATCTCTTACTTAGACTTTGATGCTCCTGACTCAGGATGCTTCTAACGCTTCCTGTCAGCTCAAAGCAGAGCTTTGTCACCCTCACAACTTGCCTTTTACTTCACAGTTTCTCACCTCCGGTCAGCGCAGGGAAGAAGTGAGTCACACAGATAGGAAGTGTCAGCAGGATTTATAATATAACATTGAGACTAAGGTGGACTAATTCAGGACGGAGCTGGCAGCTGCTAAAAGACAGAAGTGTACGTGGATGCTGTGATCTCTGAGAGGTTAGGTAAGGGGGCAGGCACCCTCTGCTGGCAAAAATCTCATTGTCACCAAACAGATGCTTCCCACATCACCCTACTTCAAGCAGAAATTTACCAAAAATCATCATTTAACTTGGGGAATCCCACAAGACAGTTTGCCCCACCTGAAGCATACAGCTCAGCTCTTCCAGCTTGCACCCACTGCATATGTGTTTCTGCCTCTGCTCTTGAATGTAGCACTATTCATAAGTCTAAAGCAGTGCTCTATCCTCTTGTCATCCTTCTCAGAGTATACATAGAAATTTATTGCTCTTACTGTCCTTTAGTTGGCTCTTGAAGACCTCTGCCCCTTCCTATAGATGCTTCCAGGAGCTCAGAGAGATGGAGACTGTCTGCCACGTAAGGCATGGATAGCAGCTGTTTTTACAGGTCTAAAGAGAAAGTACAACCATTGCTCCCTAGTTACTGACTAGCTATTGCTCAGCAAGCAAATGACACAAGTCCCATTAATCCAATAGCATTTCCCCAGAGCAAAGAGGTGCAAAAGGTAACCTTGCAATAGATACAAGGAAAATACATTAACATGGCTCCAAGTGAAAGAGAAAGGTGCAGGCAATGCCACATCCATGGGACCTAGATGGAGAGGAGCCTGACAAGGGCTAGAGCTCACCAAATTCCTGTCTCCTTGTGGGAGTGACTCCTGTCCTCATCTATTACTACAGAAAAGGACTGAGGAATGACCCATTTGCCTGCATGCCAGCAGTGCTTATCTTACAAAATTTAGATGTAACTGACAATTTTGCTACACTAAATACCTACATATATATATATATATTAACAGTGCATTCTGCACCACTTTTCTCCCTGTGTTGACCCATTGGCAAGGCACTGTCTGAGCACCCATGGGTAGCAGATGGAGAACAGGACATTCCTTGGTGGGGCAGCTCCCAGCATGGGGTGCTGGCCTCAGGAGCTGTGTTCAGCTTCACCCAGTTCTGCTCATGGCTGGAGGGCTAATCATGCCTTAGGTTCACAGAGATCATGCACACAGAGGCTCCTCGTCCCCTCAGAGCCTGGTGTGTTCATATATATGGGCTCATTGCCTGCCTGGCTGCTCTGCCTTGGTAGAAGTAAATCACATCTCCTGATTTAACCACAACGTAGATGATCAATGTGACACAATCTGTCTGCATCACAGTGCAAATGCATGAGTCAGGCTTGCATAAAGGCTGGGAAAACACCATCAGTTATGTGAAGACCCTTCGAAAGCAATCACAAGTCACTCCGGTATAGATATTAAATGCATCTGCAAGGCTCTATGACCCAGAAGAAAATCCTGTCCAAGTTCAGAGGGTTTATTCAAGAGAGGGAGTTAGTCTGAGCCCAGTCTGCAGAGATGCGGGCCAGACAGAAAGCTAGAACTGGGACTAGGGAGCTGCAGAGCATTAGGAATCATTTCTATCACCCTGTCCCGGGAGGACTGTGTATATCCCCAGGAGATCTGAACTGATGATGGAACCTAGATCAAACAGCAAAATGTGTTTGACGGTGTTGATCCCCTTCCTTCCACCTAAGGAGAAAGGAAAACAAACAGAAGCTAGCTACCTAACACACAGTCCTCAAAAGCAAGCGGTATTTAAGCAGCATCCAGTAAATGATATTAAACGTTAATTAAAACCATATTGAAACTATGAATTGAAAACATTCTCTCCAGTCCTGTGGGTTTTCAGAGATTTCCCTCCCTCCCTTTTTAAAAAGAAACTAATAATTAAATCTCAATATATTAAAGTGACCTACATAAAATATTCCATGTAAAATATTATTTCTGCCATAAAACACATAATCTGTCACTGGTTTAATTCCATTAGAAAGCATACATTAAGGTCTATGTATTATGACCATTAGGATAATAAAAGTAATACAATATAACTTTTATTATGTTTGAATTTAAAACATTCTTCATATGAGCACAAAGAATAATTAAGTGGATGGAAGAAAGTTTTTTTTTTTTTTTTTTAAATTTATAATGAAATAAATTCACAGGCAGGAGCAAAGAGACTGGTTTTTAATCTGGAAAATCAGAAACATTGCTTTCTATACCTATGTATTCTTAGACTTTTGTGATTATTGTTTTTTGTTTTGTTTTTTATTTATTTTTTTACATTGATTTTGGTCATGTAGAGAAGTCAGCTTTTGTGATCATATGTGCCACTGGATTCCCTACCCCTTCCAAATCCTATCTCTGAGTGTCATGGGATTTTTTGAAGAAAATACTTCTGCCTGTATAAAAGAAGTTTCCTGATATTTTTTGATTACGAAGAAAAATTTGGGGAAAAAAGAACTTTCAGCTCAGTATTACAGCTCACTAAATACATATGGTTTAAAACTCAAGACTTTTTTAAGCTTGTCTCCAGGATTTTGAAGCATGGTTTGTAATTTATGAAAATTTGGGATTAGAAATGTGACTAAGGCCAGGAAATAAAAACAAATCTGTTCAGAGTCACCCAATGTATCAGATTTTTCTGATGTAATGGCAGAAGCCCCAGAGCCCAGACTCAGCTCAAGAGATTTTCAGCCATCCGAAAAGCAGACTCAACACTGATGTCTCTAACAGGACAGAAATGGCTGGTTTGGTGGCTTTGGAGAATGAGAGGATTATGCTTGAAATTTAAAAACAAGCTCATTTTTAAGTATTCATTTTAGTGGGAAAGAAATGAAAGCACAGCCCCCAAAACCTCAAAAAGGCAGGATTATTTCTCCATGGTGAGAGGCAATCTGGGTTTTACCACATGGGCATTTTAGCCGAAGGAAAGCTGGATGCATTTAAGACCTTGAAATCTCATTTGAGTTTCAGTCAGAAATCCCCACTAAAGTGTGGAATGCCTCTGAAAAGACAACGTGGGGTGCAGAACAGCTGTCTTCCTACCAAGTCCCATATGACCAACCAGAGGTACCATCACACAGGCAGCGGATTGCCAAGGAGGGTACCCTCAGGGATGCAGGTCCAGCACAGCCACAGAGGAGCAGATCATCCTGTGTCTTCCAGGGTAGGTTTAGTAATCTCACATGCTGTAAAGGCCTTGATGTTTTACAGGATAAGTACTCTGGTGCAGAGGTACTAATTCCATCTGCATCAGTCCATTGCCAACCACAACACAGGTTTGGTTCTGGAAATAATAATGTCTGTTGTCAGCCAAATAATGTCTGTTGTCAGCCCAGCAATAGCTGGAGAGGACTTTGAGTTCCACCTGAGGAATTTACCAGAGACAGAAATTTAATAGCACATTGTTTTAAAACACAGGGGATACATCTGCCTTTAAAGCCTTCTCATGCTCCAAGCAACTCATGCAGCTGTGCAACAGTTAGGTTATTTGGTGCTGCTTGAAAAGATTTTGGTGGGAACACCCTTGCATGCCCATCACTGGGAAACGTTCAGTTGTACATTTTCAACAATTTCCTACAATGAGCAAGCAACATCAAATATGACTTTTTTTTTTTTTTAAACAAACAAACAAACAACTTCTTATTGTTGGAAAGTTTTGAGTCCATCTCCTTCAAAAACTACATGGGAAAGAATTGTTTTCTTCAAAGCCACTCTATCTTGAGGGACCCTGCACACTCCAAGCATCAGGCAGCCCAGCTCAGTGGCTTTATGGAAGAGAGCAGGGCCAGGAGCAGGGCCTTTTGATGAACAGACAGCTTGGCACAGGAATCTCTGGAAAGGTTGCTTCCAGCTCACAAGGTTTTCTTGCCCACAAGAGGAAAAGACTCTTCTCTAAATTTCTTTTTGAAGGCTGGGGCTACAGCACATGTAGGGCTGGGGTTTTCTGGAACAGGTTGTGTTGTGTCCTCTTTTGCTAGCATGTCTTACTAGCTTTACTGTATCTGTAGTCCTTTTTGTGATTTATAGCAACTTCTGTTTCAACTCTTGCACACAGCTCATGGGCTTGCAATGAGGAAATCTTAGAAAGGAAACAGTACTATAACAAAAGTTTTTAAAACTCTATTTTCCATTCTGTCCAAAAATTAACATTCAGTGATTTGTTCCAAACGTCTAAGATTTCCTCATTAAATTACTAATTATATATAACTTTGCTAACACTTTGCTACTGCAGCAAGCCTCAGGTCCTTTCTTAGCCTTTACCTGGATGTTCCTTTCCTTTGGGAATAGCCTGATACACATTCTTAGCTTTAGCTCAGGTGCATATATAGCACATTCTTCCTAATGTCTTAACAGACAAAAATATTTCCTTTTCAGATTTTTGGAGAGCAAAGGTCTATGCTTCTGAAAACTCAGAGGATGAAATAGGTCAGTTTATGGGGAGATTTTCACTTCTAGGCAGAAAGTCCGGGGGGAGGGTGGGAGGGTCTGGGACTGAATACACATAGAAGAATTTAAAAACTTTTTATGTGTAGAAAATTATTATCTGGTTGTGTGCTTCAACTTTGCCTAGCACAGCAGAGTTCTACCATGTGACTGGAGACTTAAAATGAATTTTAACTGAATATAATGAGCATAGGGAGAACAGAGCCAGGAGTATCACAGATCCTGTAGTCTCCAGCATGACAGATGAAGGTGGACCCTATGTACACATAGTGATGCAAAATCATAATATGCTTCATAGTTTACACTTAAAATTCCCCTGCTTCCTCCCTGAAAAGAGTTACAGGCAGAGTAGTCAGGCAGAGCAGGATGATGGGGTTGGGAGGAGGAGATGAAGCTGTGCGCATGCAGGTAGGGGAAGCAGGAAAGGGAGATTGGTAGGATAAAGAGCGGAGAGGGAGTGGGGGTTGTAGAATCTTTGGCAAAAAAAGTTAGAGTCCTAGCTGTAAAACTCAGCTGAGACCTGCACACACAAAGAGCGAAACTTGTTCATTATCATATAACTGTATCGAGCCCCTTAGCCACAGTTTCATAAGGTTTCATGCTGTGCAGGGGTAGTCTGGTGTGTGAATATCCTCACCTACCTGGTCTGGCTCAGCATCATCAGCCACTTCCGAAGAATAGATGTGACTTTAAAAAAGGATATATTTTAACTTTGGCAGATTTGTGTTACCACATCTGAAACAAACAGCTGTATTTATTACTTATTGGTGTATATTCACTGTCTTGTTTTCAATTTTTGCAGATTTCACATATCTTATTATAGGAGTTACTCTGGGAGCCTTTCTAGCAATTGGTTTTATAGCAGTCATAATTTGCATGATCAAAAAACAAATGCTTGACAATGTATTTGGAGGTAAGCGAAAATACTCCCGATTTCTTATCCAAAGATTGAGATCTCCTTGTGTTTCATGCTGTTTACAGTAAATGCTTGTCTCTTAAAGGATAGTTTTGCAAACAGACTCCCCAGGTACCCTGTGAGGATACAAATGATGGCGTAATGCTACTTCCTGAAAGACAAAGAGCTGATGCTTTCTTTATTGGCACTACATTCCCTAAGGGGAAATTGCTTCCTCCTAATTCTCATCAAGCATCTACTCCTGAAGTTGTTTCTCATTACACTCTGGATATGCACTACCAAAACAAAACAAAACAAAAGAAAACAAAACAAAAACACCACAATATCTCAAAATACCCAAAACGTTAGCAAAAATAGTTTTGAGAAAGTTGTTGTGAGATATTCCAGCTGAAAGAATTAAGAAGGACTTTAGGAAGGCTGCATGGCACTACTAATATTAAAGAGTTTTGCCTCAGAAAGGATGGCTGGACCTTTACCTCCTCCAGCAGCTCTACCTATGTTCTCCTGGTTGCATTCTCACTGCATGTGAACAGGCCTTTCACCACTCTTTTCCTGGTTTCTTAACTAACTGCATTTTCCTGTTCTCTCTTTAGAGTCAGATGGCAAAATGGATAGAAGGTAAGAATCATTGCTCCCAGGGTTTTGTGAGGGGCAGCATGATATGCAAACTGTAATGATAAATTTCTCTTTATGTATGATACTTCCCCACAACTGTGATTTGAATGATAATATAATATACATTTATTTATGGTCTAGAGGACCATGACACCCAGTACATCTAGTGGAGCTGCATGGAAAAGGAAATTCCACATAACAGGGGTTTGACATTTAAGAACTAGGAAAGAAATCCCAGCAGACTGAGATTCATTTTCAAAAGAAAATACTTCAAAAGCTTTTGATTCTGCCCTTTTATTTTGCACTATATTTAATAGCAAGCTCAAAAAAATACAAATAATTTTTTAAAAAGCCTTAGATTTGGATGAAAGCCAAAGGTCTCAATTCAGAGGTGCTAAACTTAGATTCTCTTTGACATTGGTATAATTTTTCCATGTTTTCTCTGCAACAGAGCTTTTACTATACCGATATATTTTCACAAGCCCTTTAGATTTCCAGAAAGAAAGAGAGAGATGGAAAAAAAAAAAAAAAAAAAAAAGAGGATCCAAGAGGAAAAAAAAAGCCAGAAAGATATAAACCACAGCAAATGGCTTCATCAAAAGTTTCCCAGTCACTGTGACTGGGCCTCAGTTCCAAGAACTCCCTTCACCCAAAGGTCTTTCAAATCAAGGTCATGCGGTGACCATTCCCATTGTGAGGGATGTATTTTTACCCTCCACTTTCGCTCCCACTACCCATAACCAGTAAGGCCATTTTAGGTTGTAAGCACCTTATGGACTCACAGGCACAAGAGGTAGTGTCAGACTGCTTAGGGGATGGCTGCTCCTCATCTGAAGTCATTCAATAGGGTGGAGATGTAGAGTGGGGGTAGACAATGTTTTGTTTCTCCCTAAGATATTTTATGTGTGTAAAAAAAATGAGATTACACGAATTAATCAGCATTCTCACGGACTGAAGGCAACAGCTGTTCTCAGTGACCTAAGAAAAGCCTTTTGGCCTCTCTCAGAGAGGTGGATAGAAGTGCTAATAGGCACGTCCTCATCAGTCATTCCTCACAGAGGCAACACAACATATGCAAACACTCAGTTTAACATCAAGGCAAGGACAGTCTTTGCAGAAAGTATTGTAATGCTTTGCCTAACAGAGAAAGGCCCCAGCACGGAGCATCTGTTGTTTGCCCAAGGGGACGCTTCCACAGCCTAACACAGCTAACTGTCACAAACCCCGTTTCCTTTCTCATCACACACTGTGTTCAGTCTCTTCTCTTACAAGACACACATTCACGCTTTCTGTGTATCAGCCTTAAAGTAAATTAGGACTGCTGTAGAACCAAAAGACAGAGCATAGAGCACCCAGTAAGGTGTTTCTGGTGTGTTAAGGACAGTACAGACACAGCAACAAATGGGGAGGGAGAAAGAAAACAGAAATCTCAGAGACCAGACTCAGGAGAATGGGAGGAAGGGGACAAAGGCAAGGAGAGACACGAAAGGCAGTAGATTTACTGCCTGGATCAAATACAGATGGCACTATCTGTGAGGTTCCTAGTTGCATGTTAAACTTGGGATCTTAAGGCTGGAAGTGTGACGCAGTACACACTGCACATTCTGCCTTAGAAACACTGACACAAATTTAGAGAAAAGCTGTAATTCCACAGTATTTGGGGACAAAACTAGGTATCCTAAAGATGACTTTTTTTCCTGTGTAGTGGAAAACAACTAGAAATCCACCATCTTTTCTTAGTCCATTTTACTTTTCAACAGTACTGTGGCATTTAGTAGTTTATTAACAAGTCTTTGTTCTTGTTCACTTCAAGGCATCTATGTACTACCGCTTAGTGGATTTTTAAGGGATTCTATAATACAGATGCTAATCTGAGGAAACAAAATAGTCATTTACTGGTCTTAATGAAACCATTGGTTTGTAGTATAAAATAGTTAATACCTAATGTGATCCTCAGTAACTAACAAAAACATAATTAATTATAGTTTACCTACTGTAAGGATGGAGTAGTATGACTGATACAACAATGCTGCAAATAATACAAACACATAATTTAGGCTCTAAAGAATTTACAGAGAGATTATAGATGAGAAAGTTAACAATATTACCTATGAAAATCAGATATCCTTGCAATATCATCAAGTTTTAGAAAGGAAGTTCATATGGTGGCTTGTTCTATAAACAAATATATGCTCTTCCACATCTCAGATGATGCAACCCAACTTATTTGTTCTTTGCATTATCATTTTTAAATCCAAGCAAACTACTCGCAGAAATCAAAGGGAAATTCAGTATACAAGATCCAATGTCCTATTTCATCTTTCCTCCTAACCTTTAGAGGAAGACCTTTCCATAGGACTCTCATCCATGTTGACATCTCTTCTTTGTAGGACAAAACTTTAACCACAGAACAGTGGGAAATGACATGTTTCAGTTTCCAACATTCATCATTTAAATGGTTGAGGTTGCTTGTATATCTCTGCAAGGAGATGTATGGGAGGTAGATGTTCTTAACAAAAACAAACAAGCAAGCAAAAGTAACCCTCCAACCTGATTTTCCAACCTGAACATCGATTTCCTGAAAACAGCATTGAAATATTACCTGATAAGTACTCATCATGATTAAGTGCTACAGTGTCACAAATACTAAGGAGTTTCCTCAAGAATATCCAAGCTATATGTTCATTTTTATCTGATTTATTTTTCCCCATAGGTCAAAGGGATAGCTTCCCATTTATTCAGGTCAGTGGAGAGATGTGATAATTAGATCTAACCTAATTTTCACTACTTGCTTCACTACCCTGGAGATTCTAATTCATGGCATTTTTAGGACAGTGGTTCATCCCGGAAACCCTTTTGATAATGCAAAGTCCTCTATCAGAAATTACTTAGTCCTAGATTTATTCCAATCAATCATAAAACCATCCTGAATCCCTCAGCTATACAGGCAACCTGAATCCCTCAATGATAATCAGGATATCACCCCTGTAGGACTGGAAAGGAAAACTGGCATATCATCCACAATCAATTTAATTTTCTACTTCACCACTGATGATTATTAGTGTTTGTTCAGGGAAAAACAAAACAAACTCCACCACTTTAATCCACCTGATAGAGCACTTGCTGAATTCATAATAAGCCAAATTTTGTTTTAATTTTCACACTGTTATTGCCACAAGTGCCTCAAGTCATTCAATTTCTCCCTCTAACTGGGATATACTCTGAGTGGGAGTATCACAGCCACATACACGAATCTCCATTTATGCTAAAGCCCCTATTAGCTGAAACTGAACCTAGCCAACACATTGCAAAATCACGTTTCCCACTGAAATAAACATTCTTATATGTTCCCCTTGACACTTTCCCAAATCCTTAAAACAGAAGTGTTTCTAGACCCAAATCATACTGTCAGCTCATTGTGAAATAATTAACATTCACCACTCTATCCAGGTATATAACATTGTGATTTAAACAATCAATTCATAATGGGATGTCCTTAAACTCAATGGGATATTTACTAACACTTGAGAAGAGAGAGAGCCTTGAGGCAAGCTGCTGTCAGCTAACAAAATAGTAATTTAGATGTCAACTGACTATTATTTAATGTCCTTTTTTTTAATTAATAGCTCATGTCAGTTTCAAATGCCATCTTGGTGTAAGCTTGGTAAATTATAATGCCTAAAATTTCATGCAAGTTTAATGTATTAATAAAAATGTCTGGGCACATTTAATGCTGGCAATATTTTGAGTTAACTACAGTGTATGGCAGCCAGATTTATTTTGACAGAAGGAGACAAAGAAAGAGGCATGCAGAGACAAGGAGAAGGATGGAGAGACAGAGAATGTATACTAAAAAGGAAAAGGCATGCATTTTAAGCTTGCTGTAGTAGCAAAAACTAATCTGTTTCCTCAATACATCCTGGGGAACAACACATACCAAAACTCCTCATGCAATTCTCTGGGTTCTGCAGGCCCCCATGGAAGTCATTCAGCATAAGATCAGGTTTTAAACGCAACGCACAAACTGTACTGATACATGAGAGGACAGAAGGAGCTTGGGAGCTGCACAGGCCCAGTGCCAAGTATAGTGCTGATTTTCTTTTGATATCTGAAGCGATATCTAGATGTTCTCTTGAGTTTTACCACTGGATTTCTTCCAAGTGACTGACTCTTCTTTGCTGAACTTGCCCTGTGAAACACAAGGTAATCTTGCAAGTCAGAGCAAATGGCAGAGGGCTTGGAACTAAACTAGGTTCATCTCTAAGGTTCTTTTTGAATGAAAACAACTCAGCTGAGTGTTATAGCCCTTGCATTATCCTCAGCTAGTGGAGCTCTCCCAATGGGTTGTAGCAGGCCATGCCTACTGACAGGGAAAGCCCTCTTATTTCCTTATCCTGACATATCTGTGCACTCCAGGCACAAGCAATGCACCTTTCTGGTTATGTCAGATTTTTGTAACTGAGAGTCATGCAGTGAGCAAGATCTGGATGGTAATATACTTAAAGACAATAATTAAAACCAGCTCCATGAAAGAAAATTCTCCTTTCTTCCCACATCTTCATGAAACAGGATGTTTCTTCACCAGTAGTACATTTCATAATGGCACATGACAGTGTATTCCTCATGTGCATGAGGGTTATCCACAATTCCCATGGAAATCCAGGATGCTGGTGTGCAGCCCACAACCACTTGCATCTCCAGCCCAAAGGTGTTCTATAGAAGACAATGTACAGAACATCATATTTAGTTTTAGCAACCTCAGTTTCAGTTCAATGAGTGGAGCCTACAGTGACGGGCCTGCCATTCTTCACTGGACATTCCTGTTTAACAAGAGAACAACAATTGAAGAGTGCAACAAGTGTTTCATACAAACTGTGTGTGACTCTCCAAGCTGCTGGCAATCTGCAAAGGGCCTTCAGCTGAGGTAACTCTTGAAGCCCCTGTGAAATTATACCCTTTGAGGCTGATGACACAGAGTTCAAAGTCATGGCTCATTGCTTCCA